GTTGCTGCTAGGACATATACTAGACGAGGCTTCAATCAGCGCATTCGAGGCCTTTTGTCGCTACTGCCTCCCACTTTCCTCAGAGCTTCTATCAGGTCGCCTCGCGTTGTGGAGAATGTCTTCTCTTCTTGTTCAAAGCTCCGCCGCCGCAGCCTCCCCGACTCTCGCTTCTGCATCTTGGAGAGCAGATGGCTCCTCGTCAGCGCCTTTCGCGCCGCTCCCTGGCCGCAAGTCGGTGACGTCAGCCACATTCACGGGGGGAAGGTCACATCTCTCTTCGTCCGCTCTTCGACTAGAATCGTCCACGTCAGCAGCAGCTTCTTCCACGCGGAATGTCTCCGCGGCCGCGGCATCGTCGTCGCCATCCAGCTCGGAGGTACGTGGCGCATTCCCTTCCACCCGCTGTGGCACCTTGCGTCATTGTCGCAGACGTCGTCGTTGCCGTCGTTCGCCATCGCGACGGTCGTCGCCGTCGCATGGCGTACAGTGGCATCGCATTTCATGGAAAGGAATGGACTCGGTTTACAAAACAGAGAGTTGTCAGTTTTATCAAAGAGGAGAACCAGAAAGACGGGGTGACGGGGACGAGGCGGCTAAAGAGGGCCCTGAACACCCTCGCTTTCAGGGCAACAGAGCGAGAAATGAGTCCTCGAAAAATGCCGCGCCGTTCTTGCTATCTCTCTCCCGCTTTCTGCACCACCAACAACTGGCCGTTGACAACGGCCGCACACGCTCACTCACCCGCTCTTTCCTTCCTCTAATCCTTGCCCTGGTCTCTTCTACTCCGATTTCCTTTCCCGAAATACCCCCACACCAAAGGAAGTGTTTTTTGACAGTGGACCACACGCGGGAGACCTGGCGTTGAACCTGGTGCTGGGCCGCGCGTGGCTGCCGCTCACCCTCGCCCACTCCCCGTTTCCACCCCCCTGCATTGCTCTCCCCAACCCTCCCCAACACCACAGGAGGTGTTCTTTGACAGCGGTCCACATGCGGGCGACCTGGCGTTGAACCTAGTGCTGGGCCTCACGGGCGTGTGGCTGCCGCTCACCCTCGCCTCCGCCTTCCGCGTCCTCACCCTGCGCTACCGCTTCACCAACCGCCGATTCACTGTGCTGTCGGAGCTGGACGAGAAAGAGAGGCTGGAGTACCCATACTCGGTAAGAGACAACACATTATAGACTAATATACTAGTATAGGTAACTCGGCTCACACTCACCTCGCCTCCGCCTTCCGTGTGCTCACCCTGCGCTACCGCTTCACCAACCGCCGATTCACTGTGCTGTCGGAGCTCGATGAGAAGGAGAGACTCGAGTACCCGTACTCGGTAAGAAACAACTCGATATTCTATACAGTAGTGCTCTTCACGCTTAGCTTCAATAACGATGGGCAAGAGCGTGATTGATCCCCAGAGCGAGATGTACACTGGGAACAATACTTATCTTGGCATTGAGAGTGTGTAGCCTTTCAGCTGATAACCTTCCCCCTCCCCTCCCCACGTTCCAGCTGGTATCAGAGGTGCGATCAGCGCCTCGCTTCATAAGCGAGTGGGGAGACATCTTTATAGGACAAGACAGTCATTGACGTCAAGAGGAGAGGACTGACCCTCCCTGCGAGTCCTCTGAACTAATGACCTTCCCCCTCTCACCCTTTCCCACCTTACGCCCTCCAGTTGGTATCGGAGGTGCGGTCAGCCGCCGCGGTTCATAGGCGAGAGGGGAGACATCTCAATCATCTTCAAGGACAAGACAGTCATTGACCTCAAGAACGTGCCCAACTTCAGTAGCCGTTTCAGCCCGTCATATTCACCCCTTCCCCCCTCCTTCCCCCCCCCTGCAGCTCGTATCAGAGGTGCGCTCCGCTCCGCGGTTCATAGGCGAGTGGGGAGACATCTCGATTATCCTCAAGGAAAAGACTGTCATTGACCTCAAGAGCGTGCCCAAGTTCAGTGGCCGTTTCAGCCCGTCATATTCACCCCTTCCCCCCTCCTTCCCCCCCCTGCAGCTCGTATCAGAGGTGCGCTCCGCTCCGCGGTTCATAGGCGAGTGGGGAGACATCTCGATTATCCTCAAGGACAAGACTGTCATTGACCTCAAGAGCGTGCCCAAGTTCAGAGAAGTTGCCAAGTATGTTGAGGAGCGCGCCACGGCTGCTGCTGCCCGCCAAGCCAAGAACGCGGCAGCCAAGAGTGGCAGCAAGGGTTTTGACCCTGCAGCCTAGGAGAGAGTATGTTGCGCCTGGCGTTTTAATGACTTGTATTGCCAAGAAATGGTGTAGCACGCATGTATGTTTGTGAATGCCAAGTTGAGGAGTTTGACAGCCATTGACCTCAAGAGTGTGCCCAAGTCCAGCCAAGTGGCCAAGTATGTTGACGAGCACGCTAAAGGCTGCTGCCACCCGCCAAGCCAAGAGCGCCGCAGCCAAGAGCAGCAACAAGGGGTTCGACCCCACTGCTGATCTGGCCATTGTTTTTAACTAGGTAATCTTGCCATGCGTGGTACCGTATTATGATTCTACTCTGTATGTGCATCTGTCACATAACTGCAGTTGAAAGCCAGTGTCATTGACCTCAAAAGCGTCTAGGTTCAGGGTGGCCAAATACTTCCATACTGAAGGGAGCGGGAGAGAACTGCTGTTGCCAGGGAGCCTCAAAAGAGCTGCCAAGAGTGGCAGCAAGGGACTCAACCCTGCCTACTACAAGGTACCGTACCTACGGCAGTAGGATTTTTTTCTTCTTCTTCCTGGCGTTTCGATGATTTGCACGGCTGGAGTATGGTACAGCATGCATGCAGCAGTACCGTATGTTTGTATCTGCCAAGTTGAGTTGACTGTCATTGACCTCAAGAGCGTGCCCAAGTTCCAATATACGGTCAGGAACGGGGCTAATGCGGCTGCTGCCAGAGAGCCCATGCATGAGTGAGTGCTGCCGAGAGCGGCAGAGAAACGGCGGAACATACGAGTCAACACAGCTAGGCCAGTTTTGAGACATCTCAAAACTCAACACAGCTAAGCCAACATGGGACAACTGCTATGAGCGCTTGCACTTGGGGCTTGGTTTTGGCGGGAAGCAGTTGGAGGAGTATCTGAAGGGAGGGACAACCGGGGGGGAGGAAAGATGGGAAGGGGCGTTTGAGTCAACTCAGCTGTCACAAAGGCAGGTGGGAAGCAGTTGGAGGAGTATCTGAAGGGAGGGAAGAGGGGAGGGCAGGGAGGAGGGAGGGGATGGCAGAGGAGGAGAGGGGAATTAGGAGGGTGCCTAGGGCGCCCCAAAAGTTGCCTCGAAGGTGCTTCAAATGTGCATCAAAAGAATCTCCCAGATCTCACCCAGAATGGCCAATCTTCTGGGCCTCGCAGCACAAAGGTCTTAAATGAAGTTAATCGGGTGGTTAGCAGGCACGTTTGGCGGCTCACATCACATAAAGCCAGTCTCCTACGTCTCACCCACAGCCACTGGGACAAGCAGTGTCGAAATAGCCTAGGGCTAAGGAGCCATGGCTTGAGTAGGAAGGAGAGTGGCGAGAGGAGAGTGGCGAGAGGAGAGTGGCGAGAGGAGAGTGGCGAGAGGAGAGTGGCAAGAGGAGAGTGGCGAGAGGAGAGTGGCGAGAGGAGAGTGGCGAGAGGAGAGTGGCGAGAGGGTTTCAAGAGAGAAAAGGGGGGTTTCACCAACACCAACAGTACAAGTTATATTTGCAAGAGAAGGTAGGGAAAGGGGGGTACACCACCAACATAGTCTCGATGATACTACACTACTAGTTTTCCATGCAGTTCTATATGAATATAATTCAACAAGCAGGCGGTTTTTGCAGGCACCTTTGGCATGGCGCCACTGAGATGGCTTGCGAGAGCTATTATTGATGAACTCGCCCCGGAACTCACTTGAAGTTGATCTGACGGCCAGCAGGCACCTTTGGCACGGCGCCACTGAGGTAGTTGCCACTCACGTCGCTGGGGGGGCAGGGGAGAGGAGAGGAGAGAAGAGAACGGGACGGAGGGAGGAAGAGAACTTTGAGTCGACCTCAACAATTTCCTTTGGCACGGCGCTACTGAGGCAGTTGCCAGTCACTCAATTGCAGGTGCGTGGTCTCAGAATGGAGAAGCCTCAGAATGGAGAAGCCTCAGAATGGAGAAGCCTCAGAATGGAGAAGCCTCAGAATGGAGAAGCCTCAGAATGGAGAAGCCTCAGAATGGAGAAGCCTCAGAATGGAGAAGCCTCAGAATGGAGAAGCCTCAGAATGGAGAAGCCTCAGAATGGAGAAGCCTCAGAATGGAGAAGCCTCAGAATGGAGAAGCCTCAGAATGGAGAAGCCTCAGAATGGAGAAGCCTCAGAATGGAGAAGCCTCAGAATGGAGAAGCCTCAGAATGGAGAAGCCTCAGAATGGAGAAGCCTCAGAATGGAGAAGCCTCAGAATGGAGAAGCCTCAGAATGGAGAAGCCTCAGAATGGAGAAGCCTCAGAATGGAGAAGCCTCAGAATGGAGAAGCCTCAGAATGGAGAAGCCTCAGAATGGAGAAGCCTCAGAATGGAGAAGCCTCAGAATGGAGAAGCCTCAGAATGGAGAAGCCTCAGAATGGAGAAGCCTCAGAATGGAGAAGCCTCAGAATGGAGAAGCCTCAGAATGGAGAAGCCTCAGAATGGAGAAGCCTCAGAATGGAGAAGCCTCAGAATGGAGAAGCCTCAGAATGGAGAAGCCTCAGAATGGAGAAGCCTCAGAATGGAGAAGCCTCAGAATGGAGAAGCCTCAGAATGGAGAAGCCTCAGAATGGAGAAGCCTCAGAATGGAGAAGCCTCAGAATGGAGAAGCCTCAGAATGGAGAAGCCTCAGAATCGAGTTTGAGGCGCCTCAAAAATCGCCGTGGTACTTACGGAGAAGTCTCAGAATCGAGTTATGAGGCAGGCACTCGAGAAGTACCGTATCAACACACGACACAATGTGGCAGGCACAATCACAGCTAGCTGCGTGAGTGACAAAACACACACAGCACTCTGCGGAAGACAGGCGGACTCACAGGTGCGTGAGTGTCTTGGGAGCGAAGAGCTGGGCAGCAGGGGGTAGTGTCCCCCACAGAAGGTTGTTGTACAGAATGCTGATGGGGGGGAGGTGGGGGGATGAGGCGGGGAAGATGGGGGGGAGAAGGGGGGAGGGAAGGTGGGGGGAAAGCGTGAAGAGCTGGGTGGCTGGCGGTAATGTGCCCCACAGGAGGTTGTTGTAGAGAATGCTGATTGGGGGGAAGGGGGAGATGAGGAGGCGATGGGGGGGAAGGGGAAGAGATGGAAAGAAGTGGAGGGAATCGTGTGGTGTGCCCTGGGAGCACAGCAAAGAGCTGGGCAGCAGGCAGTAGTGCTCCCCACAGGAGGTTGTTGCAGAGAATGCTGATTGGGGGGGAGGTGGGGGGAGGAGATTGGGGGGGAGATGGGGGGAGAGTGAAAGGGGAAGAGGCTGATGAGAGAAGCGTGAAGAGCTGGGCGGCAGGTGGCAGTGAGACCCACAAGAAGTTGCTACCTGCTGCCCTGCTCTGCTCTTCATGCTTTTCTTCACCAGCATTCTCTACGCTGGTGTTGGGGAAGGGGGGGGGGAGAGATCTGAATGGGGCAGATGGGGAGGAGATGGGGGAGAAACGGGTTAAGGGGAAGAGCTGGCTGGGGGAGGGGGAATAGAGGAAGTGGGAGGTGAGGTAAAAGAGGTTGCTGTAGAGAATGGTGGTGGAAGAGATGGGGGAAAGAAGCGGGCTGATTTGTGAGCTGTGCTGAGGGAGTGAATAGCAGGGAGCAAGACGCATCGGGGTCCCAGCATTTACAAGAGACAGTTGTAGAGAACACACACACAGCGCCACACACACACGCACAGCCCCCCCCACACACACACGCACAGCCCCCCCTCCCTCCCCTTCCCCCCCACACACAGCCCAACGCACAATCAGCAATGCCACCACTCACATGTCTGCGATGCGTGGCAGCTTGAGCAGCACAGTTGGGAAGCGGCCGCGCATGCGAGCAGCAGATGTCACAAACTGCTTCACACAGAGGTAACAACGCCGCTCACATGTCTGAGATGCGGGGCAGCTTGAGCAGCACAGAGGGGAAGCGGCCGCGCATACGAGCAGTTGGTGCCACGAAATACTTGAGAGATGCCATGCCCGCCCATGCTGCCGGCACCGCCCCTCCCAGACTCAGCTTCTGCAGATTGCTGTAAAGGGGGGGGGGGAATGGATATGGGGGAGGGGGAAATGGATATGGGGGAGGGGAAGGGTGCGAGCTTGAGCCCTACAGCAGCCTCACTAGCTTGAGAGGCACCATGCCCGCCCATGCTGCCAGCACTGCCCCCTCCGGATTCAGCTTCTGCAGATTGCTGTTAAGGGGAGAGTTGGCAGGGGAGGAGGAGTGGGGGAAAGAGTTGAAAAAGGGAGGGGGGAGGGTTTGGTGCGAGTATGAGCCCAGCTGCCCGGCAACAGCCGCCTCACTGGGTTCAGCCTCCCCTCCCCTTTTCAGTCGACTCATGATTTGACTTTTTAGTCGACTCAAAAGGGGAGGGTTTGGTGCGAGTATGATCCCAGCAGCCCAGCAGCCCAGCAGCCCAGCAGCAGCCCGCCTCACAAGGTTCAGCAACATCCTCCCCTCCCCTCCCCTCCCATGCTGTCCGCACCGCATCCCCATGCTGTCCGCTCCGCATCCCCATGCTGTCCGCACCGCATCCCCATGCTGTCCGCACCGCATCCCCATGCTGTCCGCACCGCATCTCCATGCTGTCCGCACCGCATCTCCATGCTGTCCGCACCGCATCTCCATGCTGTCCGCACCGCATCCCCATGCTGTCCGCTCCGCATCCCCATGCTGTCCGCTCCGCATCCCCATGCTGTCCGCACCGCATCTCCATGCTGTCCGCACCTTGCAAGATTCAGCTTGCAGGCACCTCCAAAGTTGGTGTGTGGGAGTTTGTTTTTCTCCTGTGCTCGTGCCTATACGCATGGTGGTGGCACTGTTGGTGATGCCAGCAATGCGGCAGTGACATCAGCAAGGCGACAGTGACATCAGCAAGGCGACCGTGACATCAGCAAGGCGACAGTGTCATCAGCAAGGCGGCACAAGGAGCACTTGATCTTATCAGGCGCAGGTAGTTTCTGCAGTTTACACTCACAGCGTCTTGAGCTTCTTGAGATTACCCCATCGTGCAGGCATGGGTCCCTGAAACTTGTTCCCACCCAGGTCCCTGCTCCACAGCACCAAGGCAAGGGGGCATGGCAAGGGGGGAGGCGGCGAAGAGAGCATTTAAGGCGTCTCGATATTACCAAAGCTTACTGGAATGGGCCCCTGATTTTCCAGGCGCCTAGAAATCAGCTTGCAGGCATGGGCCCCTGAAACCCGTTTCCCCCCAGGTCCTTGCTCCCACAGCACCAAGGCGCATCGGTGGAGGCAAGGGGGTAGCTACGACAAGGATGGGCGAGACAGGGGGACAGACGGTGACAACAAAGGGGGGAGGTAAAGGGGAGGAAGGCGGAACGTGAGGAGGGCTTGTGTACAGGGAAAAAACGGGTCCTGACTGAAGCTTCCCTACCTGCAATGGCACTCGAAGCAGTGAGAATCACAGTCGAAGCAATCACAGTCGAAGCAATCACAGTCGAAGCAATCACAGTCGAAGCAATCACAGTCGAAGCAATCACAGTCGAAGCAATCACAGTCGAAGCAATCACAGTCGAAGCAATCACAGTCGAAGCAATCACAGTCGAAGCAATCACAGTCGAAGCAATCACAGTCGAAGCAATCACAGTCGAAGCAATCACAGTCGAAGCAATCACAGTCGAAGCAATCACACAGTATCCTCAGTTGCCTCAGATTGACAAGCTCAGGCAGCAGCACCCCGAACATCTGGTTGTGGGAGACAGCGAGCGAGGTCAGGGCGCTGCTGAGTGAAGAAATGCTGCCAGGTGGGATGTACTCGTTTGATGTGAGTCAGACTCACCAACACACCACAAGCAACGTGTCTCACTCACAGTGTTCTCAGCTGCCGCAGGTAGCCAAGCCCTGGCAGCAGCGCGCCAGTCATCTGGTTGTGGGAGACGGAAAGCGATGTGAGGTTGCTGAGGGTGGCGATGCCCGGTGGTATTTGCCCCGTGATGCGATTCATGCTCACATCGCTGTGGGGGAGGGGCGGAGACAGTGGGAGGCATCGTTGGGGGTGGCATAGGCAAATCGGCGAGGGTGGCAATGCCGGGCGGGACGGGCCCTGTGATGCGATTCATGCTCACTTCGGTGCACACATGGGAAGAGTGGTCCAGGTGGGAAGAGTGGTCCAGGTGGGAAGAGTGGTCCAGGTGGGAAGAGTGGTCCAGGTGGGAAGAGTGGTCCAGGTGGGAAGAGTGGTCCAGGTGGCGATGCCGCTTGAGATGGGCCCTGTGCTGCGGTTCATGCTCACGTCGCTGTAGGAAGCATAGGGTAGTGGAGGGAGGAACGAGATTAAACTGCTAAGGGTGGCGATGCCGCTTGAGATGGGCCCTGTGCTGCGGTTCATGCTCACGTCGCTGTGGGAAGCATAGGGTAGTGGAGGGAGGAACGAGATTAAACTGCTAAGGGTGGCGATGCCGCTTGAGATGGGCCCTGTGCTGCGGTTCATGCTCACGTCATTGTGAAGGAGCGTATGTTTTTTTAGAATTCTCTTATGTTTTTTTAGAATTCTCTTATGTTTTTTTAGAATTCTCTTATGTTTTTTTAGAATTCTCTTATGTTTTTTTAGAATTCTCAAAAAACATACGCCACTTGGGATAGGCCCTGTGGTGTGGTTCATGCTCACGTCATTGTGAAGGAGGGGCAGTGTGGGAAGAAGAGGGGGTGGAAGGAGGAATGTCCTTCGGATACGGTACGAAGCGGTGGGATACGGCAGGAAGGGATGGGATACGCCTCTGGAGGGCCGGCAAAGTGGAGAGTGTGTAAGGGGCGAGGAGAGCAACGGGTTGGGATTCAGGGAAGTGTGCTACAGCGGGAAAGGGGTGGGGAGACAGTGGATAGGCATATAGCTTTCTGGAGAAATTTCAAAGTAGAAAGCCCTTGTTGGGGATAGGGCCGACCGTCTTGTTGTTCAACTCTTGCACTGATGAAGGCCTAGCGGGTATGATCCCTGTGCGAAGCCGAAACATGTTTGCATGTTGGACCAACAACATACAGCTTTTGGAGGGACTTCAAAGCGGAGAGCGTGTTGGGGATGGGTCCGACCATCTTGTTGTCCATAAATATGCTGTGAACATGAGCATCACCCACATGCACCACATGGCAGCATGATGAGCAGCAATTGTCGAATCACATCAGGTAGCATCACAACAGAACTCTTCACATAGCAGCACATGACATGACATGACATGACATGACATGACATGACATGACATGACATGACATAACATGACGTGCCATGCCATAACATGCCATGACATCACATCACAACAGAACTCTTCACATAGCAGCACATCAGATCACATCACATCACATCACATCACATCACATCACATCACATCACATCACATCACATCACATAACGCATCAACATACAAAGAACGAAGGCACGCATTGTTCTTCAGATTAGAAACATTGGAGCATGGGAGCATGGGAGGAACGTGGAAGCATGACATGGGAACACGTGAAAACGGAAACGTGGAAACTTGTGGACATCGAAACACGGAGAAAAAAAAAAGAAAACACACACACACACGCACACGCAGGCACACACACACACACACACACACATACACACACACACACATACACACACACACACACACACACACACACACACTCTCTCTCTCTCTCTCTCTCTCTCTCTCTCTCTCACACACACACACAGACACACACACACACACAATGGCAGTTCTCGCGGACTCACATTTCCTTGAGCTTGGGGAATCGGAAGATGGTGGGCGGCAGCACGGGCCCATACACTTCATTCCCCACCACGTTCAAGAGCACGAGGTTGGAGAGAGCTCGCATCTTGCTCCACGGGATTACGCCTCGCAGGGGGCCTGGCTTGCGGCCGCGGGCAAAGGCTGGGTCCTTGGCCACCATATATGCATTGTCTATGTCGCTGTGAGCATGCGCACGTGAGCGCAAGAAACGGAGAAAGGCGATGTTGGCACATGAATGAGAGGCACTCGCTGGTGACTGTCTGTGTGGTAAGACTATGTGCAAGGCTGGTCACTGCGACACTCGCAACAAAGAGTGTTGTTCAAGTGCTGGCGCCTGACTGGAAGGGCTGTGATCGCAGGATGGTGCTCTGATTCGACGGAGGAGCTTGATGAAGGGTCACCTGGGTTGCATTTTCTTGGTTGCTGCGAGCATGCGGTTGCACTCACTCAAGAATGCAGCGCTGCGTGTTGTAATAAACAAAAGCTGAAGGCGATGTTCTGATGTTTTGTGCAGAACCTACGTTTATGTATGTTTTAGAAACAAAGTAACGAAACAACACCAGAGATGGATAGAGCAAGCACACTCACATGGCATTAACTCGGCCTTCCTCGTCGCAAGTGATGAGTTTCCAGAACTGCACGCACGGCTTGCTTGTCTCGTACGTCATTCCCAAGGACACATTGGCCCAGCCGCCGTACTTGGCGAATATTGGATGGTTCCCGAAGGCCGCTGCAAACGCCAGCAGTGCCGCCTCTGTACCATGATTGGGGGGGGTGGGTTAGGAAAAAGTAATGAGTCGACTCAAACCCTGTGCCCGGTGTTCTGTGGTGTGAAGGAGGCTTGCTTGTCTCGTACGTCATTCCCAAGCACACGTTGGCAGCTGCCGTACTCAGCGAATATTGGATGGTTCCCGAAGGCCGCTGGGGCGGGCTTTAAGCGGAAACACAAAACCTTCAATCTTCAAAGTCTGATTTTCTGGGACCTGGGACTTCACATTTTCAGGGAACTTAGATTTTCTGGGACCACTGGTCGGAGACATGGCGGCAACGAAGTACTGCTTACTCTCAGCCATGGCGATTTTCTGGGGGGTGCCGAACCCAGGGAAGGGGATAAGGTCGACTTGCGCCTCACAGCCAGGCGTTCCAGCAGCAGCAGCAGCAGCAGCATCAGCGGCGGCAGCAGCGTTAGCGCGACAGGCGCGAGTGGCGGCGCCGGCGAGCGCGCGGAAGTGCGGCGTCGCAGTGCCATGATGACGAATCGCTGGGTCTGGTGAGGCTGCTATGATGATTCGGACTCCTGACACGCGGCGCGCGGCGGGGAAGCGCGGCACGGCGAGCGCGGACGGCTTCTTCCTATGCGCGGGGAGCAGTTCGCGGATTTGGCGAGTCTTAACTTGACGCTTCTACTTTCCTGTTAGACCACAACCACTTTCCAACAAAAGCGGTAAACTTGCTTCTGCTGTGGGAAGGAGGCTGAAAACGCTGGGATGGGCTGGGCTAGTACTACTAAGCAACATAGAAACGATACAAAAACTTAAAGCTCAAGGCCCAAATTGCAGAGCGCATTGAAAGTGAATGGGAGTAGGGAGGAATGGAGGGAGGGAAGAAGTCCTTCCCAACCCACCTTACCTACAACCCTCGTCCACCGGCCGTACAATGCGGTTCTGTAAGCTTCTATGCGGTAATTAAAGATTCTCGAACTCCACTGCATACCGAACGAACCGCACCGAACAACGCAACAACTGCCTTGTTGGCGTTGACAGAATTGACTCCACAGCAGGTTCTCAGGCAAAAATCTGCACTGTTGGCATGAGGGTGGAATGGATGCGGCCCAGCTTGACTGCTTCGTTGTATGAACCCCATTATAAGCTTTGGTTCAGTTGACCCTAAGGGCGTGTAACCATTTTGCCATTTTGTGTTTTTGCGACAGTCCGTTTTTTAATTATTATTCGGACGGTCCTAATAACGAGGACAGGACCGTCCGAATCGACGGTTCGGCACTTTGATACCGTCCAAAGTGGATAGTGACACTTTTCCGAGTCTTTTCAAATTTGCGAGTACTCTTGCATCGTTAGAGGCCTTGTACTATTCGTAACCTACCATAAGTCACATTTTTCGATACTTTCGCGTAAACCCCTTCGTGCTAGGGCCTCAGAAGTCAGGAATTTTACCCTGATTTCCTGAAGTTTGACCCTTGTTTTTTATTGTGACCCTGATGGATCAGCCATTTTTTGAAAGACCCTGAAAGATCAGTGTTTTTTTTTTTTTTTTTTCCCTGAATTTTCAGTGTTTTGTGTTTGATGACACTGATGAGTCAGTGTTGTATCGGGGTCGACCTTGAAACAGAAAACTCCGATTCTTGCGTATTAGCGCGCCGTCATCATTCATGTACCCACCGTGCATTGACGCCACCCTGCGGCTCGACCCGATACGGCTGAACTGGCTGATTTTGGGCAGTGTTTGCACAACGGCGCTATTTGATTGGTTGTTCCAGGTGTTTCTACGCTTCGTTGTCTCTGACTTTGTTGTTTTTCTTGGCCTCGCTGCGTTCAAACCCAGTGGACCAGTGGTGAGTGGTGTCTGTTTCACCACGCAAGGACGTGGTGGTGCGGTCCGACCAGCCGACCCATGCATGGGGTCTCTTGAATCTCTAATTCTTGCTCTCCACATCACAGAACCATCCCTCTCGGCTGGCTCAATCAGTGTTTTTTAAGACGGCACCCTGTGTGCTCAGTGTTTTTTTTTTTTACTAACCCTGGAAAATCAGTGTTTCTAAGCAGGCAACACTGAAGATCAGTGTTAAACCTCCATGGGACCCTGAGTGCTCAGGGTACCCTAAAACGAATCTGAGGCCTTGCTTCGCGCGATGTTTGAACATTTGACGATGCGACTTGAATTTTGTAAAAAAAAAAAAAAATGAGCACCAATCTTGTGTAAGGACATTCGGATGGTCCGAATGTGCTTCGGCCTGTCGTCTTCAGACATTTCGAATTGTTGAAGTGGGGAAAACGTATCACTATTGTCCGAGTTTTTAGCGATGTCGCAAAGGTACTAGCGAACACTCTAACGAAAACAATGCGAGGGTGGTAGCCTTTCGTTTTCCGGACGATCCAAAATTCCGGCTGCCGGCCCAAAAAGTGGCAAAATGGTTACACGCCCTAAACCCTGAACTCTTTTTCGTCACTGCCTGGCCACCAACCAACCATGTCACCGTTCTCATTATAACTCCCAAGTGGCTTGTAACACCACCAATATGCAAAAGTTCGTATGAAATAAGATTTCAACTTGCTGGCAACTAATATCAACTTGTAATGAACATGTTCGGTCAATATCAACTCACAAACATCACTCAAACACTTCATACGCGCCTATTTAAAAGCATGCCGCCTCAATGGCCTATCGCATGAACTCTTGCAGCAAAGCTATGTCAGAACATATGTTTAAATGTGACTTTAGTTATGCTAGGCTGTAGTGGGGTACTCCTTGAGAGCATTGTAGTTCTAGGTGTCAAAATAGCAGGCTAAGATCAGAAACAGGAAAGAGGGGTTTTCACTAGCAGGCAGTTGAGTACATATAGCGAACCTTAACTCGGGCTGTACTCGCTATAGAGTACCCCATTGCAGGCTAGACAAACATCACATTTTGACACACCCCCATAGTCAAAGTGGGGTACAATCAACACAACAAGCAGGCAGAGCAGTAGTTCACAATGATAAGCAAAGCT